ACTTTGCCTGCTGACAGTATAGGCTAGCCCCAGAGCGCCACACCACCAGAGGGAAGTGTCTTGGCCTTGGCTCCTGCCTGTGGGTATATCCTTTGACCCTGAGGACCTGACAGGGACTGCTCAGTTGTGAGACCCACACAGTTCATCCACAGAGGAGATTCCAGGGGCTTCTAACAGTCACTGGGCTGCTGGTGGAACAATGGAGGACTCATAGCTGGCTGTGGGATAAAGCTGCTAGTTGGAGGCTGAGACACTGAGGGTCCATCCCCGGGAGAGAATATGTAGGCTGGAGAGGCCTACGATGGTCTTCCTGCCCATCAGACCTCTCAGCTGTCTTCCAGCAAGCCTTATACCTCTAAGGGTCCTTGCTGGGGCTCTTGGGATCCACATGAACCCCAAAGCTGGAAGGTTGGGCCCAGGAGTCTTCATTCAGCCCTGTATGTGACCCTGGACAAGTGACTTGAGCTCTCTGACTTCTAGATTCTTACCAACATAATGCTAAGTACCAATTTCTTGAAGATGAGCTTATTTAGGTCAAAAGCATGTGCAGTACATGGCACCTAAGTAGACCCTCAACAGTGCCAGTGAGTGCTGTCACTATCACCATGAGGGCATTTACCTGGCACCGCTATCTATGCCACCTCAGCAAATGTTCGCACTGATTATCCCAGGAGCCTGTGGTGGAAGTATTCAGGATGCTTCTGGCTACAGTTCTGAGTGCTGAGCATCCACCCCTCATGTGGTGGTCCTGGCTCCTTGTGGAAGTTAAGGCTGCCAAGGAGTCCTGTACCCCTGTAGAGAACAAGCACCTGTCCTTATAGTTCCTGCAGATGGGAGGAACCATAGATACAGGATGTCTGTTCTCACCCACGTGCAGCTGAGGTCCCCTACCCCTGCTACTAGGCCTGCTGTGGCCCAGGCCTGGTAGAGGTGAGACAGTGAGGAGCAGAGGCCTGGGGAGAGAGAGGAACCTGAGGAGGCACAGAAAGCAGGTTCTAGCTGGAGAGGAGAGGACACTGCTGGAAGTTGGTGGCTTCCTTACATATCCACTAAGACAACTTTGAAAATGCATGAAAGCACCTTTGAGGTTCTAATCCTATAGCTCTGACACTAAGGAAAACAAGGAAAGGTCTACAAAAATGCTCACACCCAGTGCAGCTGATACTGAGGAAATGGACTGCATTATGGGCATAGTTGTAAAGGGGTTTATGTTTGCCTTAAAAGAGGCAAATATCTTGGTACCCGCAAGAGGAGGTGCTGCCTTCACTTAAGGTTTAAAACGATCTGAAAGGAAGAAGTATACATAAGTTATATGAAGAAAGCACAGCATTGTTGTTTAGACTGGGAACAATGGGTACAACCTCAGAGAACCAGCCCCCCAGTAGCCACTGCATCAGCACAGGGGTTGTTTGTGAGCTTCCAGCATGATAAATGTGTCCTGAGTCCCCAAGATCAGAGCAGGTATGGAAACTGGTTCTGAATAGCATCTTGCTTGATTGCTTTGTTGCAGATTGTACTTGGGTTCACTGAGCACACCTGCAGCTCTGGCACTAGCCCACGGGGAAAGAAGGAGGCTGTGTGACTGTTCAGGACAATGTGGTCAGTGTATTAGTGACTGCTGTGAGGAGGGGTACAGGAGGGAACGATAGTGAGGGGACCTCAGAGTATGGCTTTGAGGGAAGAACAGAAGTTTTCTGACACAGGAGAACGGGAAGGGCATTCCTGGCAGAAGGAACAGTCTGGCCAAGTGCACTTGGCATTAATGAGCAGATACTGAGAAGGCAAGCCGAGAGAGTGAGGCCCAGAAGGAGCTTGAGTGAGAGGAGCTCTGCCCACCCATTCAGCTGGTCTGCTCTGCAACTCTGTGAGGAATGAGGCTGGACCTACATACCTGGTTCCGGCCCTGACCCTGCCTTGAGGGACTCCAGCCAGTCCCTGGCCTCTGATGTGACTGGGAGGCCTCCAAAGAGCCTCCTTAGAGCTAGGAAGGCACAGAGCTAGGACGAACAGACATCTTGTGTCTATGGTTCCACTCTGTTCCTGTATTCTGTACACACTGCTCCAAGACAAGTGACAGAGTTGGGCTGGGTCAGAGCCAGGTGGGAGCTAGGCTCACTCCATCCCTGGCAAGCAGGGGCCCCAAGTAGCAAAACTGAGTTTGGGACCCAGCTGCGGGACCTTGGGCAAGTGTCCTGTTCTGAGACTATCCTCATTCATCAAGAGGGCCGTGCCCAAGCACACCCAGGCCTGCCACCCTCCCATCCTGTTCCAGGAAGTCCAGCGCACACCTGTTCCTCCAGGGCAGCACACACAGGGCAGCCTGTACCCTTGCTGCGTGCATGGCTGGCTGAGGCACAGCACCTACCACGCTGAGTTATCAGGAGGACCAGGGAGGAGTTGGAGGGAAGTAAAATGTAGGGGCCCTTGGGGCAACATGTGAGTGCTTGTCCCCCATGCCACACCACAGCCTCCACCAGACGGGTGGAGATGGTGTTTAGGGGATAGGGGGGTGAGGGGTTCCCAATACCAATTGCCCTTCACATTTTGTGTCACTTCTGTGACTTGCATTGCATAGGAAAGTGCAGATTTCTTAGAATTGGTGCCTTTGGCTGAGGCGAAGAGCCAGAAAAGCCTGGGTTGGCATCCTAGGTCCTTGGCTGCCTCTCTGACACCCCTACTTCCCCATCTGTGACAGCCACATTATCTCCTTGCTGTCCCACATTGCTCCAGGCTCAGGCCACTTCAGGGCCTGTTCAGACGTTCTTCCACCCTTCTGACCTGTTTCACTCAGGTCTCCACTCAGACATAACCTCCTCAGTGCAGGCCTACCTCAGGTACACCAGCCCTGTACACTCTGCCTTGCTTCAGCTTCCTCCTGGTGCTCATCATCCCGCATGCCTTTCCCAGGTGCGTGCACACTGCTAGTCTTCCCCGACTAAGCTTTGAGCTGTGCAGCTGGATGCCAGTGATGGGCACAGAACCAACACCCAGTTGACACTTAGCGCCATTGAAACTGTCAGGGAGACCAGTCTAGGCTTCATGGAGGAGGCTGTGCAGGAGAGGCAGTGGGCGGAGCTCTCTGTCCCAAGAAACTTACAAGCTTAGTCTGTTTGAGGTCCAACGCCTGTGCCAGTTGGATAGGTGTGCACTTCTGTGTCTGTAAGTTCATGAAGTGGAGCTCTTCAGGACTCTTGTCCTGGCCCCTTAGCTTAGATAGACTGAACCATTAACGTTGCCACTCTGCCTTTGAGGGCTGGATTGGGAGCAGCAGGGCAGGCAGTCTAAGGGCAACCGTTGGGTTCTGATAGCATCTGCACAAGAGGAAAAGGAGTTAGGCCTGGGGAGGGATCCCTGTTGGGATCACTGTGGAGAGGGAGCCCCTGGGCCCACTGTGACACCCCCCCCCCCCGTCTGCTTCCTGATTCCCTATATTCAGAGAGTAAGCAAGAGTGGAACCCAGTGCCCAGCCCTCCTGCCCACAGCCCACATTCAGGCATTGTGGGTTCCCTATTAAGAGACCTGCTCTGCTGGCCCAGGATAGGGACGAGGTAGGTGAGGGAGGTATTCCCTTAAATTTTGCACCCAGGTTTCTTTCTTGCCTCACTCGACTCCTGACCTATTACCCCCACTTTTGTTTTGGCAGTGCTGAGGACTGAACCCAGGGCCTTCACACTGAGCTATAGATTTCTAGCCCTCTTAAATTTTGATATACTCTTGCTAAGTCACAAAGGTGCCCAGGCTGGTTGGTTTGCTTGCCTATCTGTATGCCTTTCTTTCTGTCTGTCTTTCTTTCATTCTTTTGTTCTGTCTTTCCTGTGGTGCTGGAGATCAAAACCAGGGCCTTGTGCATGGAAGACAACATCTCTACCACTGAACCACATTCCCAATCCCCAGGCTGGGGTTTTGAGCTCACCTTAGCCTCCCAGAGAGCTGGGATTACAAGTGTGGGCCACCATACTCAGATGCTATTTCCTTAAAAACAAACAAACAAAAATCTATCAAATGATTAGGAAAGTTGGACTTGAATACTGAAGGTGCCCAATAACTCACTACCTGATTTTCTAGTTCAAGACCAGTGGCAGCAAACCTATAGCATGCATGCTGGTTTTTTTTTTTTTTTTAATTACTGAAAGTTCTAAAAGGTTTATCATTACTATTTTAGACCATTTGTATTGGTGCAGAAAGAACAGCATTTGTTGAGGTCCTGTTGGGTGGTAGGTGTTTTACACACTTGCTCTCCCAGAATCTCCACTCCTGGAGATTCAAGGGGTAGAGGCGAGATGGGAGGCTCAGAGAGGAAAAGTGACTTGGCTCAGGTTGTACAGCAAGTAGGGACTGAAGGCAGAGTCAGCCTACCTAGCGTGTGGCTGCAGGTATGCAGGCTTGGCTGCATCTCCAAGGGTGGCTGTGGGCCTGGTTCTTGAGTTTCCACCCTGTGTTAACTTTGGCCCCAGTTTTTATGGAAACAGACCAGGCAATCTGACTCCAAGGGAAAATGGTGTGTATGTGTGTATGGGGGGGCAGATTAGGCCAAAAGTTTCAGGGGATGGCAGCAGCCACAGTCACTAGACACCTGGGCATGCCAAGGTGTTCTTCCCTCATCCTGCAGCTTAGCTTGACTGTGCCCCCTACTAGAGGCCAGCCTCCATACCTGGGTCATGTCCCTCCCCTCAGAAGCCCCCAGAACACTGCCACCTGGGGGTTAGTGAGCAACTGTCCTTGCCCTACACCACCTCTTTCCAGATGAGATGGAGGCAGGATGTGGAGATGGGTGAAACCAAGCAGCCCAAAGGGGGAAGGGTAGGATTTGACACCATTCCTGGTGGCATCAAGTCTTAGATGTGCATCTGTTTGTTGGTCCTGCCACATTCTGGGTTCAGAAACAGCAACAGAGTAATGGAAGGACTCAGTCAGGGTAGACTTTTGGGATATTTATGCTGAGAACCCAGCTGTCTGGGTCCTTTGAATCAGAACTCTGCTCTCCTACATTGTTCAGTGAGGGCAGAGTCCTATCTGAGAGCAAGGCTTTATCATTTGGGGTAGTGAAGGGCCTGGAAGCACCCCCAGGCTCAGTAGGGAGAGAGGTGGAGTGCTAGAAAAGACTTCTGCTGGCCATAGAACTTCTCACCAGCCACGGAAGCAGGACAGAAGCCACAGAAAAAGGGGAGGGCGGGGTGCATTTTCCAGTTTATGTACCTGAAAAGACAGGCCTGTCACAAGCACTGCCAGACTCCAACACTGGCTGCTGAGCCACAGAGTGAGGCTGTCCTGCGGCTCCAGGCTGATCTACTTGGCCACTGGGGCCCAAGCTGGGCAGGCCATGGCTGTTTTTATGTATGTGCTTAACAGGGAGAGGCTTCAGCATCCTGGATTTTATCACTCCTCCCTTTCTTATCTTCTATTCTCAGGGATTGGGTCCCTTCTCAGAGGCCCAGGGCCCTACAATGAATAGTGAGTCGAACTTCATATGGTCATTCCTGGGGTGCTGTGATGCCTGGGGGAAGCAGGCTTCCATGACTCCATAGCAGAACAGCAGAGCTGTCAGCCAGGAGACCCAGAGTGTAAGTGGGGTAGGGTTTCTTCTGTTCACTCTAGGCTAGTTTACTGAAATGACCTTCTGGGTCTCAGCCCATCAGTCAGCTCTCTGAGGTGGGGGCGGTGGGAAATCGTTGCACCCACTAGGGCCAGCATTTGATCTTAACTATTTCCTACTAAATGTGCCACCCATACTCTCTTTTGTCACTCCATGTCAGAGATATGACCGTCCTGCCACTAGAGGAGGTAAACTGAGGCTTAGAGCATTCCAGGCTTGTTCAGGGTGCCATTGAGCACACGGTCTGGAACACAGCTTCAGGATGATGTAACAGCCGTGCCCGGTTCTCCCTGTCCTGACCCCGGTCCATGGCACTTCTCCGAGGTGGTAGCAGAGGGAGCAAGGGGAAGACAGGCCATGGTGACCGCTAGTAACCTCAGAGGATGCTGGCGCCTAGCGGGTTAAAGGCGGACGCCCGCGAGTAACCCCGGCCCCATTCAGAGCCGCGGGGTGAAACCCGAGCCCGGCCACCGTCTAGGAGGGGGGAAAGGGGGATGGGCCCTAGTGAGGGGCGGTGCGGCTGCTATTGGCCGCTCGAACTCCCCCCATGCTCGGCCTGCCGCTCTGGGAGGGCGGGCGGGGGCGGGGCCTGAGGCGAGGCGGGGCCCGCGACGGGGCGGGGCGGGGCGGGGCGGGCGTGCGGGAGCGCTCCACCAGCTTTAAAACTCCGCAAAGCCTTGACAGGTGAAGTTGTCCTGGGTTGCGCGGTCAGGGACAGCCACCTGGGCGCCCCGAGGGGGCGGGGGGCGCGGACCACGGAGCCATGGATTGCACATTCGAAGGTATTTTTCCTCCCCACAGGATCTATTTTTTGCAGGATCTGTTACACTGCCTGGCTCTCTCACAGAGGAGGGCGTGGAGGCCTCTTCCTCAGAGTACTGGAGACTTTCCCACTCTGGCTCCTTGGGGAAGTTGGTGGACCCCTGCCAACCTCATTAGACTTCCTGCAACTGAAGGGAAGGGTTTGCCTAGACTTGATAGCAGCATCCTGGAACTGAGGGGATTGAGGACAATTTCTCCACATCCTTGTGCTCCTTCTGAGCAGGATCCTTCTTTGCACCACAGAGTTCAACCTGTTTGTTGGCCCTATTGTCAGTTTATCTTTCTGGGTCTCAGTTTCTCCCATCTAACAAAGACCTCACATGGATCTATGAGGGGTGGGAGGGCCTGCAATTAAAATTACTGTATGACTTTGTGACCTGGAAGGTCCAACAAGTGTTTCTGCCACCCTGTTTTGCTCTGTCATGATCTTAAGCAGATTCCCCTCCTGCAGCAACTTTCCTGCCCCGCTACCTGTCAGCAGCAGTGTGGGGTTCCCACTGCACTGGAAAAAGCCTCCAGCAACACTGTCCAAAAGCATTTGATCCTTTGTGTTATATAGATGAGGAAACTGAGGCCCAATGAGAGAAAGCGATTGGTTCAAGTTCCACCTAAAGTGGAGGGCAGGAAGGAGTCTCAGGTTGGGGAACTTGGGAGTACTGGGGACCCAGAGTTGTGCTTATATATACTGTGGCTTCAGGTGGTCTCTATGGCCAGCGGTTGGGGCTTTAAGGATGCAGTTTTGTTTCAGACACTGTAAGACCTTAGACCAGTAAGTCTTTGACCCAGTAGGTGGCTTCCCCACATGGGTTAGAGGGCCCCAGGCTGAGCCAGCTAGGCTGCTAGTCGCCAGCTAGGGGAAAAGGGCCTGTAGCTAGGCTGGGACTGAGATAGGGAGCATGTCCCAGGCTGCATGAGGGGGAGGGAGTCAGACAGACAGCCCTTGCTTTTATGCAGGGAAAACCAAAGTCCTGAGTGGCCAGGTTCTTGAGTTGGGTCCTGAGGCCACTTGGCTGCAGGTAAGGCCTGGCTTTGTGCCCGGAACATAGAGATATTGGTTGGCTATATGGCCAGCAGCTGGCTCAGTCCTATTCCTCTATTGGTGATGGTGGTGTTGCTCCTGGTTTCCTGGTAGGCCAAGGACACATGCAGAAACAAGATATGGCATTTTGTGGACTTGAGTTTGAATCTCACTGCATGCTCTTGGGCTGCTTGTGATTTTCCTTTGGTTGTGGCTTTGGGGACTCGGTTTTTTTTGTTTGTTTGTTTGTTTTTTTGTTTTTTTTTTTTTTGTTTTTTGTTTTTTGTTTTTTCCCTTTTTGAGACAGGATCTCAGTGTGTAATTCAGGGTGGTCTCAAACTTGCAGCATTCCTCCTGTCTCAGCCTGCAGAGTGGTGTGATTACAAGTATATCCTAAATCTTGGGGATTTGGTTCTGTCTCAGACACCGTACTACCTTAGGCCAATAGGTCTACAGCTCCGATTTCTTCCTGTGTAGAATGGGTACCATGCTATACAGCACCATCTTAGAGCTGTATGTTGGGAGGTTTTGGGGTCCAGCCTTGGCGCATCAGTGTGAGTGGCCCCAAAGTGTGCCTGGCTCTTGGCCCCGCTCCTCCCTGCTGGCTTGCTTGCCTCCTTATGTGTCTTTTGAGCATGGATGAGGACCTTGTTCTGCTCTGTGCTCTTCTTGGAGGTCTGTTTTGTCTGCCATTCTTCTTTAGGGGTCCTGGACTGCAAAGCTAGGTCTGGCAAGGAGCACTCTGCCACCTCATTGGGACCTCAGGCCATCCTACCCTTCTCTGTACCTGTCTCCCCCTACAAATTGAGAGGATGGAGGGTGTTACCCACTTCTCAGCATCCTCTAAGTTCCAGCCTTATTCTGTATTCAGAGGACCTTTTCAGGCAGCCTTGCAGGAAGAGCCCAAGAGTGGCCAGTGGATGGGGCATGGGGCCCATGGCACCATGTGAAGACCCTCTGTGATCTGCATCTCATCTGTCCTGGACTGCCTCTTCCCTCTGGTTGCTATGGCCCATTCCCCTCACCCCCGGGAATTAGATCTGCCCCTCACACAGGCTGGAAAATGGGCTTCAGAGGGACCAAGACAATGCTGCCCCTTTGGCCTCCTTGTGTTGTAGGTGCCCATTGACTGAACTAAGTCCTAGAGTAGGGTGTCCTAGAGTAGGGTGATGGAGGGGATAGAAGAACAGGAGAGGCTTTCTGGAAGGATTTGTCATCTCCTGGACAAACACCTACAGCTGGTTTGAGTCCTCAGTACACAGTGTGTGTGTACGTGTGGGTAAAGAATCCGAGGTGGATGTGCTACGGCATATGCTCCCTGAAGACAGGAATGGAAGTTTACTACCTTCCATATTAAGATATAGGTCAGGGTCTTGGGGGTGTGGGTTAGTGGATAGCTTGTGCTGAGCATGTGTGAAGTCCTGGATTTGATCAAACCAAAGCAAACAAAAACCAAGATGCAGGACATTCTCAGGTCCCCCAGGAAGTGGCTTGCCTGGGCACATACTTGTTTTTGTTTCAAACAGTCTCACCATGTTGTCCACTTTAGCCTTGGTGATCCTACAGTCTTGATCTCCTGAGAAGCTGGGATTTCAGGCATGTGTCATTGTGCCCGTTGTCTTGGCAGTGGTCAAGAGCATTCTTGGTGTAGTTCTTTGTGCGAGCACTTGGTACAAGCATGCTGAGTGAAGGAAGGGACGAGCTTGGGCCAGCTGTGTGCCATGCACTGAGGTTACTGTTGAGAGAAACATCACTGGAAAGAGCTCTGGCTCTGAAGTAGGAAGTCTTGGGCTCGGCTCTGGCTCAGCTTAGTGCAGGTCAGGGGCTGAGGTATCATCCTTGTACACCCATGCTGTCCTGTTGTGCCAGGGTTGTTGGGTGCACATGCTGTGCTAGGTGTTGCACCATGCATCACAGGTGCCTAAGAAAAGGCTGTGTCCAGGAGCTCCGGGGCACGTGGGTGGCTTTCAGTCTCTGCAACTTTGCCCACACATGAACAGCTGTGTGTGGTCAGGGAGTATGCAAACAAGATCTGCTTGGGGACCAGCCTCCGCTCAGCTCCGCACACACTCACTCACATGCCCCCTTCTCTTCCCAGACATGCTTCAGCTCATCAACAACCAAGACAGTGACTTCCCTGGCCTGTTTGATCCACCCTATGCTGGGGGTGGTGCCGAAGACCCAGACCCAGCCAGCCCTGGCGCCTGCTCCCCAGGCAGCTTGTCTCCACCTCCTGCATCACTGAACTCTCCTCTGGAAGCATTTCTGGGGGGGTCCAAGTCAACATCCCCACCTTCATCCCCTCCCCAGCCTGTACTCACCCCACTGAAGATGTTCTCTTCTGTGCCCCCCTTCTCCCCTGGGCATGGTATCAAAGAAGAGCCAGTGTCACTCTCCATCCTGCAGCCCCCTACCCTGCCATCTCCAGCCCCACAGCCCTTGCAGGCACTCCCACCCCAGAGTTTTCCAGCCCCAGCCCCAGCCCCTCCACAGTTCAACTCCACCCCTGTTTTGGGTTACTCCAGCTCTCCTGGAGGCTTCGTTTCAGGTAAGAGGGTTGGCAGGTGGGAGAGGACAATGAGGGAAAGGCTTCTGGGGGGAATAGGAAGTGTCAGCTGTCATCTTCGTGGAGGGATTCTCAGGCTTGAGACACTTGGTGCTTCAAGTGCTCTTGTCCTTTATGCTGGGTGGAGCGTGGCCTCCCACTAAGGCCTGGTCGGCATGTTTGTTTCAGATTCAGGCAGGGCCTCTCCAATGGGAAACCACAAACCTTAATGACTCATCCTAGGTGATGGACGATAGAGACCTGAAGAGTGGGTTGGAAGTGGGTAAGGACAGCCTGTGCCTGAAGCCTTAGGCATTGTCTCTATAGGAACCCCTCCCAGGAGCACCCAGCAGCCACTGCCTAGCCTGCCATTGGCTTCCCCACCAGGAGTCACGCCTGCTTCCTTACCTGCCCCGGTCCAGAACGTGGCACCCCAGCAGCTTCTGACAGCCACAGCAGCCCCTGGAACAACTACTGTGACCCCACAGATCCAGCAGGTCCCGGTGAGGGCTCTGGCCTGGTGTTGGGGAGGTAGCAATTGTTGACTCAGATACAGCTCATGGCCAAGCTTTGTCCCTCTGCCAGGTCCTACTGCAGCCTCATTTCATCAAGGCAGACTCATTGCTCCTAACAACCATGAAGACAGATATGGGGGCCACTGTGAAGGCAGCAGGCATCAGCTCCCTGACCCCTGGCACAGCTGTGCAGACAGGGCCCTTGCAGGCAAGTGGCATGGGTAGGGAGAGGGTGCGGAGGCCATACGCATGCATACCCACCTGGTAACACTTGCCTGCCCCTGCAGACCCTGGTGAGTGGTGGAACAATCCTGGCCACAGTGCCACTAGTCATGGATGCTGACAAACTACCCATCAACCGGCTCACAGCTGGCAGCAAAGCCCTAGGCTCAGGTCAGAGCCGTGGTGAGAAGCGTACTGCCCATAATGCCATCGAGAAGCGCTATCGCTCCTCCATCAATGACAAGATCGTGGAGCTCAAGGACCTGGTGGTGGGCACAGAGGCAAAGGTGTGGGCAGAACCTGCCAAGGCGCAGAATGTGTTTCCCTGGGAGGAGCAGGGCTGGACAGCTGGCAGGAAGATGGGCTGGGCTAAGCCTGGACAGATAGGGCCTTGGACTTGAGCCCACTGTGGCTGGCCAGCCCTATGTACTCAGTTCAACTTTATTGAGGGCCGTGGGGACGTGGAGGAGAAGAGACTAGAAAGAGGGATGGTGAGGGTCGCAAATCTTAAGTCAGGTGGTAAGAGAAGGACTTGCCATGGTGACATCCTGGCAGAGCCCTGAAGAAGATGAAGAAATGAGGCCTGAAGATCCTCATATTGATAACAGTAGCTTACCAGACACTGTAGTGTGTATTGTACACATTAATCCTTCTTTCTGCCCTCGACCTACCTTATTAGTGGAGAAACAGCAAGTGCAAAGACTCTGAGGCAGCAGTGTTTCAGAGTAACTGTATTCTCTTGCTAGGTAGCCTTAGCCAGGCATGAATGGCCAATTGTACTTTCCCCCCGCCCGCCCCCACTATAGCTGAACAAATCTGCTGTCTTGCGCAAGGCCATCGATTACATCCGTTTCTTACAACATAGCAACCAAAAACTCAAGCAGGAGAATCTGAGTCTGCGAAGTGCTGTCCACAAAAGTAGTAAGTCCTTGCCTCTCCTTCCTGTCCTTGGCCCCTCGGCACCCTGGCTCCAGCCCCTCCTCGCATGAGCCCACTTCTGGGTATGGCCCCATCTCTTGGCCTGGCCTCACTGGTAGACCTCTCTGTCAACTGTGGCCCTACAACTGCCCCAGCCACTTCGGGCAGTATCCTAACCCTGTGCCCCTTCCTCAGCCTCAGGGTAGTTTATCTCCCAGGGTCCTGAGCTGATTTTGCTTGGGGGATCTACTCTTCACCCCAGCTCTGCCTGTTCTGGTCCACAGAATCACTGAAGGATCTGATGTCAGACTGTGGCAATGGAGGAAACGCAGATGTGGCCATGGAAGGTGTGAAGTCTGAAGTAGTCGACACGCTGACTCCACCTCCCTCAGATGCTGGCTCACCCTCCCAGAGCAGCCCTTTTTCCCTTGGCAGCAGGAGTAGTGGTAGTGGTGGCAGTGGCAGTGACTCAGAGCCTGACAGTCCGGTTATCGAGGACAGCCAGGTAGGGCCCTACCACACTGCCCCTTTTCCTCTCTGTGATGTTCTGTGAGTTCCAGGATGGGGTTATGAATAGTTGAACTTGCCATTTCATAGGCAAAACCTGAGGCCTGGAGCCTTGCAAGACCCCAGTGCCCCCTTCATCCCCCTTCATCTGTGTCCTTTGGGCTTGTACCTGCCCTCAGTGCCCTGCCCATCCCTTAGGTGAAGCCAGAACAGCTGCCGTCTCCCCACAGCCAGGGGATGCTGGACCGCTCCCGCCTGGCCTTGTGTGCACTCGTTTTCCTCTGTTTGACCTACAATCCCTTGGCCTCCCTGATGAGTAGCCGGTGGCTTCCCAGCTCCCTGGATGCCACCAGTATCAACCACAGTCCTGGGCGCACCATGCTGGGTGCTGAGAGCAGAGGTAGGTCAGGTCAGCCAGGGCCCCTTCAGGAGAGACCCTTGGGTATAGATCTTCAGCTATGGGCATGGGACTCTGGGCTTCCTGGGAGCTGTGACCCTAGTGCTTCCTTTTGCCCCCAGATGGCCCTGGATGGGCTCAGTGGCTGCTGCCCCCTCTCATCTGGCTGGGCAATGGGTTTCTGGTGATGGCCTCCTTGGCACTTCTTTTTGTCTATGGGGAGCCGGTGACTCGGCCTCATTCGGGCCCTGCTGTGCACTTCTGGAGACACCGCAAGCAGGCCGACTTGGACCTGGCTCGGGTAAGGGTTGCCCTGGGACAGGGCTGGGGCAAAGCCGGGGCAGCATCAGGGTTCCCAGCTGGGAGGGTACTGGTGGTCACTTGCTCGCTGTGTTTTGCACATACCATGAATTGCCCCATCCTCCACACTTCCTGTCCATCCCAGAGACCCATTGAACTGGGGACCCAGAGAGAAGGGAGACACTGGTGCCACTTTTCTTACCTGGAAAACCCTCATCCTAGGGGGACTTTGCCCAGGCTGCCCAGCAGTTGTGGCTGGCCCTGCGGGCATTGGGCCGGCCTCTGCCTACCTCCCACCTGGACCTGGCCTGCAGCCTACTCTGGAACCTTATCCGCCACCTGCTACAGCACCTCTGGGTGGGTCGCTGGCTGGCTGGCCGTGCAGGGGGCCTACAGAGGGACTGTGCCCTGAAGGCAGATGTGCGAGCCAGTGCCCGGGATGCGGCCCTCGTATACCACAAGCTGCACCAGCTGCATGCCATGGGTATGGCAGGGTAGGGAGCTGGCTTGAGGGGTCCCCTTACTGCATGGCTCCTTTGGCCTCATGCCTTCTGCTTTCTAGGGAAGTACACAGGTGGGCATCTCACTGCCACCAACCTGGCACTGAGTGCCCTCAACCTGGCAGAGTGTGCAGGGGACTCTGTGTCCATGGCAACAATGGCTGAGATCTATGTGGCAGCTGCCCTAAGAGTCAAGACCAGTCTCCCAAGGGCCCTGCACTTTCTGACGGTGAGTGGGTAGTGGGCTGCTAGGGATAGGGCTGGGGTCCTGTCTTTGCAGCTCTCTCAGGCATCTCCCTGGGCAAAGGCTGTACACCATTTGGCAGCCAGTTACCAGGTTGCTTCAGGACCAACTGGGGTCTCAGTTGGGGTCTGGGTTTGAGCCCTGCCTGTCCCCAGTGTGACAGCCTGGCTTCCCTCCCCCACAGCGCTTCTTCTTGAGTAGTGCCCGCCAGGCCTGCTTGGCACAGAGTGGCTCAGTGCCTCTTGCCATGCAGTGGCTCTGCCACCCTGTGGGCCACCGTTTCTTCGTGGACGGGGACTGGGCAGTGTGCAGTGCCCCAAGGGAGAGCCTGTACAGCTTGGCCGGGAACCCAGGTGCTCCCCCACCCCATCCCTGTTCTATGTCCTGTGCCTTGTCCCCTTTTCCTGTCCCTTATTATCCCCATCTCTGGATGCCCCTGCCCATCCTAGTTCATCTCTTCACTGTGGGTTGGAGCTGTGGGGGCTGTGGGAAATAGAAGGCCTGGCTAGCTGTCTCTGTTCTGATAGAACCTCTTCAGAAGCAGCCCAAGGGTCTAAGAACAGTGTATTAATTTGAGAGATGATCCCAGGATACCATTGTACAGTAAGGAAGTGGGACAGAGAGGGGAAGGGGCAGGGCTGCTATGTAGGTGGACTTTGATAGACAGTGTGGCATACACATGGTGGTGTCCTCTCCAGCCACAAAGCTAGGGTATTTTTCCTCCACCTTTCTCCTGTCTTTGGTGGGGCTGCTCCTGGGACCAAGCAGGTACTTTGTCTGGCCGTGGGTGACTATGGAGAGCAGAGGTGCTGTCCTATGCCCACTTACCCCCTCCTGCCCACAGTGGATCCCCTGGCACAGGTGACTCAGCTATTCCGTGAGCATCTCCTGGAGCGAGCACTGAACTGTGTGGCCCAGCCCAGCCTGAGCCCCACTCCGGGGTCAGTTGATGGGGACAGGTGAGTGCTCCTGGGACCTCCTCCAGTCAGGATGCTGACAGGATGGAGTCTGGGAATGGGAGTGGCCAGGATCAGGGACCTGTGGAGGTGCCAGAGCCTGGGCTGTGTCACTTGTCATGTGTTCTCAGAGCCTCTTTAGGTCTTGTTTTGCCCTCCAGCCATGCAGGAGGAGATGGTGGCCTTTGTAGAGCCATGGGGTCTGACAGTATGCTGGTGGGTAGCAGGGAGAGCAGCATCCCCAGGACCCCTCTCATCTGTCTACACAGGGAGTTCTCAGATGCACTCAGCTACCTGCAGCTGCTGAACAGCTGCTCTGATGCTGCTGGGACCCCGGCCTGCAGCTTCTCCATCAGCTCCAGCATGGCTGCCACCACTGGTGAGCCCTGGGATCCCTGCCCTGACTCCCCATGTGGCCCAGGTACAATGTGTTTGAAGCCTGGACAATCTTCTTCCTCTGTAGGCACAGATCCAGTGGCTAAATGGTGGGCCTCACTGACAGCTGTAGTCATCCACTGGCTGCGGCGTGATGAAGAAGCAGCAGAGCGACTATACCCACTGGTAGAACACCTGCCCCGTGCCCTGCAGGATACTGAGTGAGTACACAGCAAGACTGTCCCCAGCCTACACCCTAGGCCCTTCTCCTGGCCCCTCAGTACCCTGTTTGTATGCACTTTTGCTCCATATGGTAGGGATTGCTGTGCTATTTCCCTGGAATCTAGAAGTGGTGCAGAATGGCTCAGGTGGGCCTGTGACCTGGTCTAACTGGTACCCCTCTGTCCTGTCCCTGACAGGATACCTCTACCTAGGGCAGCTCTACACTCCTTCAAGGCTGCCCGTGCCCTGCTGGGTCGTGGAAAGACAGAGTCTGGCCTGGCCAGCCTGGCCATCTGTGAAAAGGCTAGTGGGTACCTGCAGGACAGCCTGGCTACCACACCAACTAGCAGCTCTATTGACAAGGTGAGAGAGGGATGGGGCAGTGTCCTGGCTTGTCTGGGGTCATAGCTCTCCACTGCCCTGCATTCCGGGTTACCCTAGGTAGCACAGAACAAAGTATCTGGGTGACCTTCTTTTTGGCTTAGGCTTCATCCAGGGGAACGTAGCTGCCCCTCTGGCTTCAGTATTCCTGCCCCCAAGAAGAGAGCTGTGGTGAGCAGCTGACAGGGCCTTTCTTTGGAGGCCAGGTGTCAGGAAGCTGGATGTGATCCAGGCAGGGGCGGGTGGGGTCTGGAGAGGCGGGCGGCCCCGCGGTGCATTGCTGTTGCATTGCATGTGTGTGAGGCGGGTGCAGTGCCTCGGCAGTGCAGCCCGGGGTCGGCTCCTGGCACCGCTGCCCCATCCCCCCCTCCCAGAGCTAGGGCCCCTGTGACCCCTGCTCTGCCTGCCACCCCCAGGCTGTGCAGCTGCTCCTGTGTGACCTGCTCCTTGTGGCACGTACTAGCTTGTGGCGGCAGCAGCAGCCTCCTACCTCAGCCTCGGCTGCCCAGGGTGCGAGTGGCGGGCCCCAAGCCTCTGCTCTGGAGCTGCGAGGCTTCCAGCGGGACTTGAGTGCTCTAAGGCGCCTAGCACAGAGCTTCCGGCCCGCCATGCGGAGGGTGAGTACCCACAGATCTCGCTGCACTCTGGGGATATGAAGTTGCAGGGAATGGGGACTGGGCCTAACCTCAGCTCTTTTACTCCACGAGCCTAGGTGTTTCTGCATGAGGCCACAGCCCGGCTGATGGCAGGGGCCAGCCCGGCACGAACGCATCAGCTACTGGACCGCAGTCTGAGGCGGCGGACAGGCCCGGGGGGCAAAGGAGGTGAAGGGGCCTGTTGTCCTTGTGGTTGGGGCTGGAGGTGTCCAGCTCAGCCCTGAAACTTTCCCTATTACCCCTTTCTCCCTAGTCAGGTGAAAAGGCTCAGATGGGGATTATGGATACTAACAAGGCTGTGTGTGCCTGTCTGGGTACATGTATGCTTAAAACAGACCTAGTGTGTCTTAGCATCTGTATTCTACTGACTTGTACCTGAGGTTGTAGCCGTGAGACAGACTCTCATAACCGGAGGTGGACCCCCTGGGAGGTGCCTTGGGTTGCTGGACTGCCCTGGGGTGTATCCAGGCTCCAGCCTCACCCCTAACGTGTCCTCTTGTGCGCAGGCGCAGCAGAGCTGGAGCCCCGGCCCACACGGCGGGAACATGCGGAGGCTCTGCTGCTGGCCTCCTGCTATCTGCCCCCCGGCTTCCTCTCAGCACCGGGGCAGCGCGTGGGCATGCTGGCCGAGGCGGCACGCACGCTGGAGAAGCTGGGCGATCGCCGGCTGCTGCACGACTGCCAGCAGATGCTCATGCGCCTGGGCGGCGGGACCACCGTTACCTCCAGCTAGCTTCTCAGCGGCGCCCTCGGTCTCCATGCCTCAATCGGGGCTGTGCTTCCCTGTGGATGGAAGACCCTCTGGGACTTCTGTCTCTTGCTCTGGGCAGCCACACGGGCCCGACCCCAGCACCTCGGCCGGCTCGCTACTGGATGAGTGGAGACCAGGATGGTGCTGACCTCTGGTGGCAGATCGGGGAGTTGCAGGCCTCGGGCCTGCAGCGTGCCATTCCATGCTCTGCTGGCATTTAATGGCTTTTTCTCATCTAGAGGCAGGAGAGGGGTGCGTTTCCCGAGCTGAGGGGAGCCCTGCACCGAAGCGCCTCTCTTCATCCTGGACAGACTTGTACATAGTGTAGATCCGGGTGACACCCCCTCCCCCCCCCCCCACCCTTGGAGGCTCGTATGCTACTTTGCCTTTTGCAAACTTTTATTTTCATAGGTTGAGAAGTTTTGTACAGAAAATAAAATATGAAATTATTTATAATCTAGATTTTGTTCCTTTGGGGAGGACGGTGGATGTGCGCCTAAGCTGAGGTATCCTATCCCCTACCCATTTTTTAATTTTTTTTCCACCGGCAATCAAACTCGGACCTTGTACTTGCCAGGTTGGTACTATGCCACTAAGCTATATCCCTGAGTCAAGTTCTACAATTTGATGGAAGCTATCCCACTGATGTCTGGGCCACATGTCTAGTTGTTTCAACCATTAGGGTTTTAGTTTCAGCCTCTCTTTTCGCAGTCCCCACCATGTCCCAGGGTGATATTGGGATACAACCTGTAGGTCTGGAGTATCTCTCCCCCATCCTGTCCCCTGATCATCTCCCTGCACACCTGAGGAAACCTTGTACTATAGGGAGGGAGGACCCGCAGTCATGTGGATGGCAGCAGGGACACAAAAAGGACAGAACCCCATTTCCCTTGGCACCCCCCCCAACCCACATACCCCACCTAAAGCCTGGTCTGGTCAGAATCCACGGGTTGCAGACTTCCAAAACAATCGTCGGTTCTTTATTGACTTTTTTTTTTCTGAATGCAATGACTTTTTTACTCTTAAGGAAAATAAACATCTTTTAGAAACAGCTCGATACACACAATCTTCAGTGTGAAGCAATATACTAATAAGAACACTAGTCGTCTTAACATTTACAGTCTTCATATATATTATATATATGTATATGTATACATATATATACACTATATAACGAGGCCAGGTATAATACACACGTTTACCATTTTACAGTCATATGTACAGGAAGTTGCTAGGGCAGCCCCAGGCACGGGGCTGCCTCAGGCCTATCGAAGCGTGGACAGAGCTGAGCACACGGACAGACTGGCGGGACTGGCCCGAGCCGGTGGTGGCTGCACAGGGAAGGGCGTCGCTGTAGCTCCCTGCCCGGCAAGGGCCCGGGTGGGGCTGTGTTGCGGGGCGCACAACGCACAGGAGGCGACACACGGGAGAAGCGAGCATGTTCCCAACATATATACATTCTATGTAACATATATATAGAGGGGTACACAGGTTTTGTACACGAATCTAGCGTTGTCCCTGCTCCCGTGCCAAGTGGCGCTGGCCAGTGGCGGTGGTGCAAGGAGACGACCGTGCATCCCGCCGGAGGTGGGTTCACTGCGTCTTTTCTGCTGTGCTCCAGGGGTGGGGTGAAGAACTGGGAAGGTTACCAACAGAAGCCAAAGGGTACCCCAATCTGCCCGCACCCAGGAGCCCACGTCCTCTGGGCATGGGCCCACCACTACTCCCTTTGCTCAAGCCACACAACAGCTTTGGCAAAGGCAGGGTGGGAAGTGCTCTCCAAAGCCTCTGGCCCCTTCCCCTCGCTGACTTGGCCTTCTAAAAGGCCTCAGTCCTGCTGCCTCGTCCACGGAGCCAGGAGCCCCCGTTGGCCTCTTCCAGGGTCATCTGGACCCCCACCCTTGCCCCCCAGCTACCTGCCACAACCTACTGGGGTGGCGGCAGCACCCATGAGGAATGTGTGCCACGTCATCTTAGGACCTCTGGGGTGAAAAAGCGTCCCCAGGCCAAAGCCTCTCCCACTCCTGCCGGAGACTGGGCGCCCAGAAGGAATCTGGCCTCTCTGTGCCTCCTGTCTGCAAGCCTGGCCTCGCGGGTGTGGGCAAGAAAGCCCTGTGCCGTCCAGTTCCGGGAGCAGGGGACTCCGGAACAGGTTTTCTCCCCAACCCGGGGCCGCCCGCAGGGCCCTTGGTGGCCGGATCCAAGATCCGGCACCCGGAACAAGGATCAGCTCTGGATGGACGCTGGGAGTAACTCCAAGGCCTTGGGCCGCGCAGGCGGCTCCTTTCCTTTGGCGGCAGGCCGACTTCAGCAGCTCCTCCGGCTGATGCGGTGGATTACAACGGCAGCCTCTGCCAGAGAAGTGGAACGCAGACAGCCGGTTACACTCGTCTCAGAGGTACGCGAGGCGCTAATTCTTCCCAAGGCCCCGCCCCTGCTACGACCCCGCCTACATAAGCTCCGCCCCCGAGCCTAGCTGCAGTCAGCTGAGGGCTTTTTTCCAATGAAGGCGTGTGGGGCCCTCCTCCGGCTTTCCTTCCTTTCCCTTTCTCCAGCTTGCTCTAGCGTCCCCTGCCCCCGCCTGTCTTCCCTCCGCCTGCTTGGAGAGGGTTAAGGGAGGCTAATAGTTGGCTAAGGATGGCTCATGGTTCTCCCTAGGGACTTGCCTGATGACCTACCCGTTTGCTGGGTTCGGGGGTTGGGGCTGGGGCTCCTGCCTCCGCCCAGGTCAAGGGGTGGGGTGGGGAGCTTGTAAAGGAAGTAAAAAAAGGGGTCCTTGAGGTCACCTACCTTATGTTTGGGACATTTCAAAGAAAAGTTCTCTTCGATGAATATGCAACCTATGACCAAAGAGAAGTTTTGGTGGTTAAGCAAGGTGGGGGCAGCTGCTGGCCTCTTGCCATAGACAGAGGGGAGGGTGCTCCCAATGACACGTCTCAGGCCCCAGGAATTGTCTTCAAAGAAGGAAGCCGAGCTGGGGTGTAGCACAGTGATGGAGTGCAAGCTCAGCAAGCATACAAAAGGCTCCATTCCCTTTTTTTTTTTTTTTTTTTAAAGAGGTCTTTCGGGGCTGGGGAGATGGCTCAATGGAATAAGAGCTTCCCTAGCAAGCGCAAGGGCCTGAGTTTAATCTCCGGTTCCACCAAAAAAAAAAAAAAAGTCTTTCGAGAAATGAACTCCATCACAGGAATATAACGTGGTCTTCTGCCTTGGCCTTCCTCAGGTCTTGATCCTCACCTGACTTCCTCCTCCATCCTAGAATGGCCCTCCCCTTCCCACAGGGCCAGCTCCTCACTAGGAGCTCTTCCCCTACCTCCTAAAGCAGAAGCCCACTTGCCCACACCACTCCACCCCTGAGGCTCTCTCATCACCTGCCACATGGTCGCAATCTCCTGTTACAAGAGGCCAGTCCACACGTCCATTACTCCTTGTCTTCCCTCCCGAGTGGAAGGCGGCTTTGTGAGGGATGTGCACCCAGCCTCTAGAGGGCCAATGCCCAGGGGGTGTCATCTGGTGATCAGTGGGTCAGTTACTCTGAGCCTTGGTCTCTACATCTGTATGATTATACCATCCACCGCATGTCATGGGCAATGGAGACTGCTGAGGTGTGTAATATGGCACAGGGCATGTGCTCTGGATGCAGGCACTTGTTCCCGCAGGGGCCTGAGCAAATTCCAGCAAGTGGGTGGGTCCCCAGAGCACTGATACTACAGGAGAGGTGCAGATGATGGCAAACATGGCCAGTCCTCATGGCCACCTGGGCGGGTGTGCTGGCGCTTCAGCAACACCTTGCTCCTCACCCAGGGAGACCCAGCTTTTCCATGGACACCCCACCAACCCCTCAGGTCCCTTTCGGGCTCTTCACCCCTTTCTTCCAGTCATAGTGGCCAGGGGAACACCCTTGCCCTATGTACTCTTTCAGCTCTACTTGTGGCACCAGGGTGGAAAGCCTGAGGGCAGGAGAGGATGGCTGTGGGCCTCTCTAGCTCTCTCCCATTTTCCCTGCCAACTCTGCTGGAAGCTGGGCACTTACCAACCTGAGCGCTGCCCACCAAATTTGCCCTTCTAGGGCCAGTGGCTGGAAGCAGCCATCAGCTTTCTGTGTTCTGTGCTTGAGCAAGCTGGATTCAGTCCAGGGCTTGAGTGAGACTTTCCCAAGAGTATGAGGCTGAGATGCAACTGTCTGGGGCAGCTGCAGGCAATAAGGCTTAGGGCTCAGACCATTAGAAGCCACTTCCAAACCAGCTTGCTCAGCAACCGCCCAGCATGGCCGATGCTGGGCATAGGAGGGGGATGCAGGAAAGGTCAGGCATCAATGTCTGCCCCTTTCCTGGAGCTTGCACCTATGTATGCTGGTGGCCTGATGTTGGGCATGGGAAGTTTAGATAGTTTAGACAGGATACCGTAGTGTGACAATCTCTGCCTTCTCTTGGGGGTCACTGCTAGTCTCCAAAGTGGGGTCCCCTTAAAAGTACTAGAATGAAAACAGGAAGAAAAGGGGTCAGGGCAGCATGCAGGGTTAAAGCTGGAAGTCATGGGCAGCCTGGGTTCTGAAGCCTGAGAGCCTGACCAGGATCTCATCCCAGAGCGTCCCTGCCAGGGCTCCTGGAAAAACAGCTCCCCTAGCTCCTCTGTCCTCTGTCCTCCCTGCTTCCTGAAACCTTATCCTTTCTCACTGCTGACTGTGGCACCCGTTTCCTGAGGGTCCCCTCCACCACCAGCTGTTCAAACTCCCATTGTCCCTCCAGGGTTCTGATGAGCCCCCTCTGGCCAGTGGCCACTGCTGGTTTATTCTGACAGTTCCCATAGTATATCTGCAGATGCCCCAAATGCAGCCTGTCCTCAGGTCACCACATGTGGCAGGTGGACATCCCTTGCCAGTGCCCAGCTCCAGGGAAGCGGCGCCATGCATTTTCTACTCTGTGACTTCCAACCTGTCAGGGCTGGACTACTGGAAGGAGGCTGCATGAGGAGACCACGTGGAGCAGAAAAGGCCCACGCAGCTGGGGCTTCCCTAGGGGATTCTCCCCCCCACACCGGCATGCCAGCCGACTTGTGCCCTTGGTGTTTTACCCAGTAAGCTGGGGCTGGAAAAGTCAAGTCGCTAAGCGGTAGTCTTCCTCTGTCTTTTTTTTTTTTTTTTTTTTTTTTGTGGAACCAGGGATTGAACTCAGACCCCTGCACTTGCCAGGCAAGTGCTTGTTCTACAGAGCCATCTCCCTGGCCCCTTCCTCTATCTTCTGCTGTCCCTGCCTACACTCGCTCCTCCTCCCACATGGGAAACGATGTCAGGCTTGACACTAGTTTACCCCCAAGTTCTGTAGCTTTAGTGCCCCCTGCACTAGGCAAACATCCTCTCCTGCCTGGACTCTTCAGCCTGATCAGTGTCTTGTCTTCCCAGCCCTCTCTGGCCTCAATCTCCATGGCTCCCTGGAGATTCCTATTGTATGGAGAACTCTATTAAGATTTCACTTCAAGCTAAAACTTTACTGCTCAAAGTCTGGTATCCAAGTTCTACTGCTACCCACTTCACCAGATCCTTTGAGGCCCCTTTCAAATGTTGCCTCTGCCTGGAAGCCTTGCTGGCTTCCCTCCCATTTTAAACAGGATAAATTTCTCCCATGGTTCATGCTCTATCCTGCTCTGGTCTCTATTACTATGAGCAAGAACCATGTTCTCGCCTGTTTGCGCAGGGACTGGGGTTCAATCCCTGGCGTGCTGTGCTGGCCCCACCCCCCAGGGTGCACTGAAAGAGTGACTGACTGGGCATGGTGTTGTGTGCCTGTAATCCCAGCACTTGGGAGGCTGCAAACAGGAGAATCACTACAAGTCCAATCTGTGTAGTGAGACCCTGTAGACCCTGTACTAAAAAAAAAAAAAAAAAAAAAAAGAACCACGTTCTGCCATCTGCTGGCATCCAAGCTATCCTCCCACCCTGTGTGTGTGTGTGTGTGTGTGTGTGTGTGTGTGCGCGTAGCAGCAGCAGAGGGCATACAGAGAGTAATTAAGCACTCTGCCTCTGCCAGTTCTTTGTTGTGAGGCTGTGGGCAAGAAGACCATCTGTAGAAATGTGGCTGTGGCTGGGGGTCAGTGTAGACCCTGGTATGTGGGGACAATGTCAGTTGCCATAGGGAGGGGTGTAATCAATCATGATTGCTATGGTGGGGAATGAGACCATGGGCCCAGTAAATGACCTGAGTCCCCATGGGAATCTTTCACACGGGATACAGCCAGAGCCCCTACCATTGCCTGCTGCAGCTGCAGCCCCCCCCCTGCTGCCCAACACTGGAGCTCATTTTTGCCAAGGACCTATCACCACTCAAGGTCTTTTTTTTTTTTTTTTTTTTTTTGTACCGGGGATTGAACTTAGACCCTTGTGCTTGCCAGGGAAGAACTTATTCCACTGAGCCATCCCCCTGGCCCAACTCAAGGTCTTGTGTGGCTCCCAGGCAGGCTGTGACTGATGCTAGCCTAGGACCCAACTGCAGGCAGGGCCAGGGCAGGGCCTAGCAGGGCACTGAGTTTGAAGGGGCATTGGTGGGTCTGTAGGAAGAGACTGAGTTCCAGTATCCAGACTTTGTCCATTGCAAGGGAGGGTCATGGTCACCTCATTCCTTCTAGGCAAGAGCTTGGAGGGAGGGAAGAGGGTGGCACAGAGCCTGGCTCCAAATAGGACTAAATCTACCTGGCATGAACAGTGCTCAGTATTTTACTGCTGCAAACAGCTCTGGAATGAAAGGACTGCAAAAGTCTCCATGTCACAGATGGGGGAACCAAGAGCAGGGGCTGCCTGCAATCACAGTTAGAAAGGCCAGCAGGGTTCAGTCTTACAACTCCTCAAAATATTGCTGACATCAATGACTAACACCACACAGCAAACAACAGCTTTCTTTAGGTGAAATAAGGGATCTGTCTGAGCCTCAGTTCCCTGCCTGGTTGATGGGGGCTCATCCTTCCAAAGTCCTAGCCCTAGTGTCTTTTTCCTCTTGAGATTCTTTGGTAATAACGGCTTTTCATGTTATAATTTCTGCCTATCTTTCATTGAGGGCAGTCCTTAATCAGGGGAGTAGGAGTAGACCCATTTTTATGTTTTTGGGATGGCCCAGCCTAGGTGTAAGTAGAGAGAAAGATGAAGAAATAATGAATTGCTGGGGTAGGTGGGTGTGGCAGCACACACCTATAATTCTGGTGTCAGGAGGCTGAGACAAGAAGATCTCAAGTGCAAGCCTAGCCTGGGCATCTCTTGAGACCATGTCTCAAAATAAAGTATTTTACAAAGGGCTGGAAAAGCAGCTCTATGTAAAGGCCCAGAGTTCAATCTCCAGCACTACACACACACACACACACAAAAAAAAAAAAAAAAAAAAAAAGGAAAAAAGACTGGGGCAATAGCTCAGCAGTCTAAGTGCCTGCCTGGCAAGTGCAAGGACCCAGGTTCCATCCCCAGTACCACATGCCGTGCTGGCCTCTGCTCTGTGCGGGTCATTGAAACCAGGCATGGTGGCTCACGCCTGTAATCCCAGCATGGAGGAGGGGGGGTGGGGGGGTTGAGATAGGAGGATCACTATGAGTCTGAGCTGCATAGTAAGACCCTGTGCCATAAACAAATAAATAGGGGCTAGGGAGATGGCTCAGTAGAATAAGCACTTCCCTGGCAAGCACAAGGGTCTGAGTTTAATCCCCAGTTCTGCCAATAAATAAATAAATAAATAGAAAAAGATTCTGGGGTGAGAGGAGGTAACCAGAGGTCACACAGGGCTCAGGTTGGATGGAGCACTAGGGCCCAGGGTCTGGACTGCTCCCAAGCTGCTCTCACCTGCATCACTGGCACACGGGTAGTGGTAGGTGTGGATGCATCCTTTGTAGGAGCACCCGATGGTGGCCCCGGCCTCCTGGCAGCTGGAACACGTCTGGTGAAGAGAGAAGGAAAGCAGTTGAGCCCTCGTGCAATCCCTAACCACCCCTTTCTCCAAAATAGCCCTGAGAAGCAGCAGAATGGAGGCGCGCCCATGAGGCAGTGTTCTTTGGCACCCCAGGCTAGCAAGCTGGCTAGGGGCACCGCCATGGCCACGGCTGCAGCTGCCAGCCAGTGGTGGCCAAGTACTTCCTACATGTGAACCATGCAGTGTCTTTGTCCTGGCTTGTAACACCCCCTCAAGATGTGTGATTCTCAGAAGCCCCCCTTTACAGGAGGTAAGAGCAAGACTTCTTTTCCAAGTGCGACGGCAGGAGGGGTACTGTCTATTCTTCCCAAGGACTTAACAGTCACTCTCCCTGGGGTGAACAGGGTATCAGATCTGGAGGAGGCAACAGGTGCTCCCCTCAAGATGCTAATTTCGTGGAAACCAATGCTGGATCCGTGCGTGCTACCCCAGGTGACAATGGCCTGGCTACTCAGAGTGGGACATGGCCAGGATGGGCTGGCAGGGCTGGAAAGGTCTTAAGGTGAAGCAAAACTCAAGGCCTATGAGATGTCAAGTTGCCAGAGCATGCTCAGGGGCCAAGCCATATAAGCACGTAACAGTTACTAGCTCTGAGCCAGGATGGCTGGAAGCCCTGACACGTTGCTGTTTTCCCTAGCTACTCCCTGGAGTGTAAGGGTGGTGACCTGCCTGAAAATTTACCTCTCCGGCTGGGCCCCAGGCCTGGAGTCACAATCACCAACCCTTGCTCACAGTAACAGAAGCAGCAGCAAGCTCCACCCTAAACCCTGCACCTTAGGGAGGCCAGGAGCAGATGTGAGGTGGGGGGTGAGAAATATTCTAAAATACTGAATGTTTACACAGTGCCTCTGGATGGGCAGTTTCCTCTACTTAGGACTGAGGCCTCCTTCCCATCTGTTCTGGGACAGGCTCCTGGGGAACTGGGGCCCAATATCCCCCCAGTTCCTCACCCAAAAAGGGGTGATGAAGCATGAGTCTCTCATCCACAGTGGACCTTGGGGCGTGGTGACGTTTAAGGGGAGCTCTGGGGCCCCTCCGGCTGACGGCCTCTCTCCACTTCACCTGTGCTGGGGCCCCAGCAACCCTCGAGGCAGGAATTTGAAAGGCTATTGTAGATGTGAGGAAACTGAGGTACAGAGGGACAAGGCTCAGGTGCTTCTGACCCCAGCCACCCCACAGGGCTGTGGCCCTGAACTTTGTCCTGGCTGGCCAAGAGGCCCATACCAGGGCTAAGGCAGACACCAGCTCCTGATGGCACAAGTAGCCCCCATCCTCATCATCCCATGGCCAGGCCTCATCTGGATGGAGGCGGGGGACTCACAGTGGTATGGCGGGCAGGGCTTGCGGAAGCCTGGATTAGGGGCAGGCTGTGGTCCCAGGAAGTGGGCACGGCAGGGCTCAGAGAGGGTAGGTATTTTCAGGGTGGGGATTGAAGGAAAAGGGGTATCCCTGGGGGCTCACAGTTTTGTCCTCCAGAGAGCAGAAGGGAGGCCAAAGTACCACAGGTGTCTCGAGGTGGGGTTGGGGCCTCAGCTGCACACCGAGCCCTGCTGTGTTGAGACAGGTCACGGACCACCTGCATAATCTCGAAGTCCTGTGATGGGTTCAGCTTCTGGGGCTCACAGAGGACAAGTGCCTTCCTGGAGTTACAGAACCGGCCCTTGGCAGAGATGGGATTTAAACCAGGCTCTGTTGGACTCCACAGGAGTGTGATGTCACTGAGGCAGAAAGGAATAGTGACCCTGAAGATTCCTCTCTCTGGAGCCTTGGGAAGATCAAACCCTGCCCATCCTTCCAGGGTGTTTCATGAGGAAGCTTGGCTTTCCCCCAGGGGCTGCATTATGGCAAGACCCCTGACGCTGACAGAACAACTTCCTGTCTCCAGTATATACCCAGCTGCCAACCCTAGGCAGAGCTGTGACCATTTGTCTGGTAGGGAAATACCTTTGGTGAACAATGAGCACCTTTTCAAGTGTGCTTTCCTTTCTGGCCTTCCTGGAATATTTCCAGCAGTGGGGGCTGCCAAACCATCCCTGCAACATGCCCAGCATACGGGGATGGGTGGGGCAGGCTCTAGCTCTGGCTAAATGATGAGGGGAACTTCCTCCTCAGCCTAGCAAGACTCTGTGTGGGTGCAGGTCAATGAGTGGGTGACTCAGGGCACTGGAATGGACTAGGGGCAAGGGGATCCATCTATGCTCACTGTTGTCCCCTCCTTGCCCAGGCCAGCCAGGGGTGCAAGGTACACAGAAATGATGTGTATGGGTCTGGGGGATATGAGTGTTGGGGAAGGGAGACCAGTACTCTGCCAGGCCAGAGCAAGGGCCAGTGTGCAGGGTACTTCTCAATGTGGCTGACATGGATGGGAGGGGAGGGTGACCCATGGGTTATTATGTGTTAATGACAGTACAGACTTGAGCCTGCTATAAGGAGTCAGTGATCCAAAAGAAAACGGGAGGTAGGGGAGGGGAGATTGGAAAGAAAGGAGATCCAGGACACATGGGACCACCACCTGCTGGACACAGAGGCTGGGCCTTCCCCAGTGAGATGGGGCTGCAGTGCCTGTAAGAAAGAGGTAGGCAGGAGGTCATGGCAATGGAGAGTGTCATCAGGCATCCTGGTGGGCTGCGGAGAGTGAAAACCTGCACGCTAGGGAGGCAGGGGTGTCTGTGGGGTGTGGTTCAACCACATGATGCCATGGCCTACTGTGCAGTGTGCAGGGAGGCAGGTGGACAGCAACGCAGGAGAGGGGAGCACAGACAGACCACGGGGCAGCTCTCCCTGGTCACCAAATGGCTCAGGTGCAGACAATCCCAGCCTCTACAGGTTCTCTGGAGACCAGTTACACACAGCAATAGCAGGAAGGAGGGAGGGAGGGACAAAGGGAAGTGGGGAGGGAGCAGAGAGGAAAGAGGGAGTAGCAAACAGGGACTCCAGACAGGGCAGTGCACAGCTTGTGTGGACCATTACAGTGAGAGCCCAGCTCCTGTGCCAGAATGAACTTCTTCATTCCACAGAAGCCCAGCAGGGCCCTGAGTGTGTAGGGGGTGGGGGTGTTGGAGAAAGCAGCCCCCCACTGCCTGGGTGGTGCTTCTGCTGACCCCTACCTTGCTACTGGCTGGTGCTGCCTTGCACATGCCTGCACAGTGGCTGTGGGCCTCTGCCAGAGGGAGCCTGAGGAGCCAGCACCAAGTGGCCTGCAGAACTCCAGCAGCAGTCACTGCTGTAAGGATGTCAGCCAGCTAGTCTACTAGTTCTCAGGACACCAGATGTGAACCCCTGAATGTGGGTCAAGTGCCACCCTAATAGTATGACAGCACCTCAGCGTATGGCATAATCCTTGAGATGGGTAGCAATGGCTAAGGCCTATGGTGAGCACAGGGTGGCTCCAGCAGTCACACATGTTCAGTGGCCAGAGCTCCCTGCAGGGCAATTGAGAACCAAATATGGGAAGCCACCAGTGGTCCCTGACAAGGTGAGGGCTTATGATGGGTCCCATGCTTTAGCCCTGTGTGCGTGAGGGGTTCTTCTAACCCCCAGCTCCATCCAGAGCAGCAGCTTGCTGCCCAAAGGCCTCCCAGCTTGTCTAGGCCCCAGCATCTCTGAGCTTGAGGAGGGGCCAAAGCTAGAAGGCACCAGGGGAATAGGAACAGGCACTGCCCAGGCTGGACATGAACTGCAATAGGCCATCTCCACAGATGGGCTGGGTGTATGCATCCTGCTTTAACCTTAGATATGAGACTCAACTGGGGCTCTGGGGTCTAAGGACAGTGCTCTGTGACAAAGCAGCCCTGGAGAGTCCAGGTTCCCCAGTTGCCTGCCTTCTGCTTGTGCTTTGTCCCCTAAGCTCCCCACCCCACTGGGCTGGCCTCTTACCATGTCCACAGCCACTTTCATAGCCTCTTGCAGCCCAAAGAGCTTCCCGGCCACCAGGTAGACCCCGCCGGTCCACACAGCACAGGCCTCGTGCACCCAGTGCTCCTGGGTGTCCCCAACAGGCTCTGCGGGGGCCTCCTTGATGCACTCATGCTTGCGGCTCTTGTCGACTGGGGCCATCTCCTCACCCCCATCACCCCGGCCATCACAACAGTAGCAACTCTGCAGCCGCCGGGACAGGCCGCGGGCACTGGTACGCAGTGAGCCCTGCTTGGCCGGGTCAGCTGGGCCATCAAGCCTGGGGGGTTTCCCAGCAGCAGTGGCAACAGTGGCAGCAGTGGCAGCTGCACACTCAAGCCCCTTGAGTGTTCTGTCGAGGGGCAGCAGAGCCTCCTCACAGGTGCCTTCTGGGCGCACCTTCTCCTTGAGTTTTGGCTTCTTTTTGGGGAGGCAGTGTTCAGGGTAGTAGGGTCCACAGAGGTCTCCAAGGTCCTTAAAGTTGGCGGGGTTTTGGCAGAGGCAGCAAACAAGGCAAGAGGTACTCAGGGCCTTGGAAACCACAGGCCCCAGGTGCATCATAGAGGAGAGAGGCAGGGCGGGCCGTGACTGCAGGGTGGAGCCTCCAGGGTGCGCCATCAGGTAAGCTCCAGCCACATCCAAGAAGGAGGAAGATGAGGGTGAGGAAGAGGAGGTGGAGGACGAAGGCTTCCTGTGGGGCTTGGGCTCATCCCCTGGGGAGTTGACAACAGTGCATACAGTGGTGAATGCATCTCGCTTCTCCACCCGCACAAAGGGTGAGAAGGCAGGGGTCCGGCTGTCTGCCCTCAGTCGCTTGCAAGAAGAAATGTACTTGAGGCGGATTTCAGGCTCTGCAGGATCCAGGGGGAGCACCTGCTGCTGCCGCCTCCGCTTGGCACGCCCCTTACAGGGTGAAGTATTGGTGTTTTTGGCCCGGCCTCGGGTGAGGCGCTTCCGCTTGGAATAGCTGCTGTAGTTGGCATGGCCTGGCTGCTTCTGTGCCCTTGTCTGGGGCTGGCAGGACCGGCCCTCGGAGGGCTGGGAGGCTAGGCCCAGCTCCTCCGTCTTTGGCTTCTTGCCTCCACCAGAATTGTCCTCGCCACCCCCCTGCGTGCTGCTGGCCCTGTCTCGGGGACTGAGGAGCAGAGTTGGACCAAGGTAGGGCCGCTTCTCCAGGGGGCCTTTGGGAAGTCCGAGGCCTCCAGCTCTGCCTTTCCGGCTCCTCTTCTTAGGTGCCAGGGCAGTTGCCCCAGGCTGCAGGGCCTCCGGGGATGTGAAGGCCTCAGTTTTGAAACAGTCAACAGAGGACAGTTTCTTACTGTTCACAAGTTTGCCTTTTAAGGACCTGTTGGCTGGATTTCTGCATAATGGGTCAGCTCCTAAAGTTGCTGGAAGCTTCTGCCCAGTGCCTATGCTTACCAGACTTTCTTCTGCCCTTGCTGGGCTGCCCCCAGCACTCTTTAGGCCACTTCGTTCCTTGTCTGGGAGAGCTGGGCTCAGAGGTGTCCCTGGAGAGGCCCCTGGCACTTTGCATGTGAATTTCTTGAGACCAGGTGAGGTGATCTTCTGCACAATGGCCTCCAGCTTTAGGCCCCGGCCCTTCCGGGGTGGCAGCACCTTGGTCTTCATGGCCCCTTGGAAAGCTGCCCGAGAGGTCAGCTTGATGCAGGCTTCAGGACTCTCTGGAGGTGAGGGCTTCATGGTGGGCTCACTGTTCCCGTTCCCCTTGGACTTGGTCTTTTTGGGGGAAGACACCTTCCTGAAGAGGGCAGGGGAGCCCTCAGACCTCTCTTCCTTTCCATCTCCCCCACTGCCAGTGGTGGTGGTAGTGGTGGTGGTGGTGCTGCTCCGTAAAACCAGGTTCCGCTTCTTGGTAGGGACTGGGGCCATGAAGGCAGATTTCCTTTTGAGGGTGTGGAGGGGTCGATCAGAAAGCTTGCCCCCAGTACAGGGCTTGGGGACCCTTGCCCGCTGGCTCATCCTGCCCTCCTTCTGGGGGCTGCTAGAGACTTTGAATGTGGTGGGCAGGTGGTTGTTGGCAAGGAGCTTTTTGGTGCGGCAGTTAGGGAGCCGACTCTCTGAAGGTCGTCTCCGCTTGGCATGGAAGACCTCCTGGGGCTTTGTGCGGGACCGGAGGATCATAGAGCGCTGGTCCTTGCTAGGAGTGCTGGGTGAGTCTGTCTCCTTGGTTTTGGAGCCCATCGGGCTGCTGTCTGATGCCACAGGCAAGGCAGCAGGGTTGCTGGGGCTGGATGCGGCCTTGGGTGATGGTTTCCCTACCCTCTTGCCTGACTTGAAAGCAGCTCGCTGCTTGCCCCCCAGCTTGTCAGGGGGTGCAGGTGTGGTGGTCAAGCCTGGAGGTCCAGGTGTGCGGGGTTCACTCAGGGCCGTGAGGGAGCGTGTACACATCCTGGGAAGCCCTTCGGAGGTGCCCCGGCCTGGGGCCCCAGCCCCTTCCATCTGTCCCTGGGGGGGCCCTGTGCAGGATTCAGGGAGCAAGAGGTCTTTGGGCAGCACTGGTGCCCTGCATGGGGAGTCCTCAGCCTCCGGCAGCCCCCGGTGCACCCTACGGCTCCGTAAACTTTTGCCCCGGGGCACAGGCTCTTTCTTTGCAATGGGTGCTTCGGGCACAGCTGGCTTGTTCGGCTTCTGGGCCAGGGAGGCTTCTGAGGTGGTGGAATCACCTGGTGCCCGCTCCCCCTCAGAACCCTCTTCCCCTGGCTTCATGTGGGACAATGAGGACTCAAACCAGCTCTGCACCTTTGACTCAGCACCCACGGTGGGGCCCAGCAAGATGACAGACTCCCCAGAGAGGTGGCATGGAGAGGCCCAGCTGGCCTTGGAGTCCAGTACTTCTTCTACCTCCTCCTTGGTGCAGATGAGGGGGGCCTTTGGTGACAGTGGGTCCTGCATGCCGGGCCTCTGCTCTGGGCTGCCCAGCAACTCACACAGGGAAGAGTACTCCTCCTCAGCCTCCAGGTCCTCCTTCCTGCCTGGAGGCGGCAGCAGCGGCAGGTCCCCAAAATCTGCAGCAGAACAGCAGTGCCGGCTGTCCTCCAGCCACCGGTCAGCCTTACCCACATCATCGGGGCACTGCAGCATCCCGCCCACCTCCTCCTTCACCCCACCCACCTCCTCCTGCTTGAAATCCCTGGGCAGTGCAACTGCCTTCTCCCCAGGGGGCTCCTCCTCCTGAAAGCCCAGGGAGGCTGAGGCCTCATGGCTGTCCCCTTTGCCCACACCATCTGAAGCCTTTCCGCCCTGCTCTAGGCCTTTGGCAAGCTCACCGGGGTGCAGTCCCCATCGGGGACAAGCATCGCCCAGGTTCTCCTCTGGCCAGGCAAAGGGGTTGGCACTGTCTGCTGAGCTGGCAGTAGTTGTGTCTGGAAAACAGTCAAAAGCTGTTGTGGGGTCTGGAGTAGCAGCCCCAAGGGTGGGCTTGGTGCCAAACGAGAGGGGGCCAGTTGTCTTCTTGGGATCAGGGCTGGCAAAGGCTACAGAAGGGTCTTCAAAGAGCCCTGGGCTGAAGTCCTTGGTGCTGCTACCCTTGTCCAGTTGCAAAGAATCAGGCAGGGTCTCTGGCTCCCCAGGCCGTGGCCATACATTCTTGGCTACCGAGTCCAGGCAGGCGCTGTGGTTCTCCAATGAGAAGGGAGGCTTGCTGGCGTCCTTGGCCAAGCTGGGAGCCTCGACCCAGGCCTTGTCAGCCTTCTCACCGATGGCTTCTTGCAGCCCCAAGATCTCAGAGGCCAGATCCTCCTGTGCCAGGGCACTGAGCAGCAGCCGAGGGCAGTCCCGCTCACTGGCCACGAACTTGGAGAAGCTGTCCAGTGGCAGAGTGCTGTGCAAGCTCTGGAAGGAATCATCAGATTTGGTGGACATATCATCAGGTGAGGTCACAGAACAAGTGGACACCGACTCAGGCTTGGCTTTTGAATTACTGTTGACCCTGGCAGGGCTTCCACGGGGCTGGCTGCAGTATAGGAAGTTTCTTTCCAGTGGGTCCTCGGAGCCACTCAGATAGTCAGCCTCCTGGGGCTCAGCATGAGTGGACTGTGGGGTGCTGCTCAGTGGCTCAGACAGTGGTGTGCCCGATGGCTCAGCTGAGTAGCCACTGCCCTCAGGGCTGCAGTGCTGGCTCTTGTGCTGCTCCGGAGTCCTGGACACAAGGTTCTTGACCCCTTTCTTCTGTGGCACAGCAGCCTTGGACAGTAGAAGCTGCTGCACTGTGTTGGAGATGTTTTCTACCTGTGAGGTCAGTGCCGTGAGGCTCTGTAGACTGAGGTCTGACAGCAGGTTTTCAGGGATCTTGTCCTTTTGCATGGGCTTACAGTTGCTGGCCTGGGTGTCCACAGAACTGGCGGCATCCGTTGGGGAGGGGTTGAGCAGGGGCATGAAGTGACTATGGTCAGTGACCCCTGTGGGGAAGGCACCAGCGCTGAGTGGCTGCTGGCTGTACGGGAAGCTCTCAAGGTTGGGCATCAAGGGCGATGGAGTGGAGCTATAGGACGGTGAGCGTCCCACAGAGCGGGCAGGGGAGTGGCTGGAGCTAGGACTGAAAGTCTGGTAGTACTGCTCTGGCGTCCTGACAGCTGCATCTGGCTGGCAGTAGCCCTGGCTTTGCTGTCCATAGTGTTGGTATTTGGTGAGGTTTTGGTAATGGAGGGTTTCCTGGGCATGGTGCCGGCTCTGAAGAGTTTGTTGTTGCTGCTGCTGCTGCTGTTGCTGCTGCTGCTGATCATAGCCAAGGCGGCCTGACTGGTAGGCGTGAAGGTTTGGGACCCGCTGCCCTGGGGCCAGGCTGGTATTGGCGGTGAGCGGTCTGTCATGGGGCTGGGTGGATGGTGCTGTGCAACTCTTATAAGAGTGGGCCCCCTGAGTGGGCCCCTGGACAGAGGAAGGGTAAGTGGAAGAGGCAGGAAACGACTGGGAGTGCTGGGGGAAGTGGCCACCCTGGGGAAAAGGCAAAGGTGAGGCAATGTCATTCTGCAGTTTCTGCCTTTGAAGTTTGGGGTAGGCCAGAGGCTGCTGGGGCTGCTGCAGCTGCTGAGGCGGCGGTGGCGGTGGCTGCTGGACGTGCAGGGAGTGAGTCCGGAAGGGAAGCTGGGTGCCCTGCTCTGGGTACTGCCTGCCAGGGGGCACTGCTGTCTTTTTCATCAAATTCTCATCATACTTGCCCACACTTCCTGGCAGGGGCTGTGGCTGAGGAGGTGGTGGCTGTGGGGCACCCCAGGCCTGCAGGCCCTCCTCGCCAGAGTAGCGTCCTGGGTAAGGGTTGCTGTCCTGGACACCACCATAGCCAGGGAAAGCTGGCCTCCCCTGCAGGGCCTGCTGTGAGGGCAGGGTCTTGCTCCCTCGGTGGTACTTCTCGGTGGCAACTGCAGCTCCTGTGCCCGCGGGTGTGCTGGTGCCACCCTCATAGCCCGGGTAAGGCTGCGGATTATAATAGTCCTTCGCAAGCAGCCGCTGCCGGTCACAGCTCAGCCCAGCCTGACTCGGCTGCCTGTAATTCTCCAGGCGCGATGTTTCCTGTGAGGTCTGCGGGTAGTTCTGTTGTTTGCCATGGAAACCACACCTTTCTCTAAAAGACTGCATGACTCGGGCTGGTTATCTGTGAAAAGAAAAGGAGAAGGGGGAGCAGAGGGAGAGCAATTCAGATGGGCCAGGTTCTTGTCCTTTCATCTGGACCAGTATCCCTCCCAGCCACCTCCTACCCTGTCCACTCCCCACACACAACCCTCAGGCCAGAACCTCCCCCGCAGCTGTGCACATATTGACAACTTCTGTGTCAGGGAGGTATGCTCCATAATTCCTGCCGCCACCACAGCATTTGCAGCTGAGCCTGCCAAGGACAGCCACCACAGAGTGGGAGGTGCAAAGCAGGCTTCTCAGAGCCAGGCCACCAGGAGTGGCCGTTCCACCTTCCTGCAGACCAGTTCCTCCCCTCCACCCCCATCCACCACTCCCAGCCCTTCCAGACAGCTCAAAAGCATTTAGCAGAGCAGTTCCGGCTCCACTGTCTCCCGGGGCTGGCTGGATCCTGTAATCTTAGTCCCTGTGTGGCTGCGCTCAGGCATGACCCAGCCATGTGAGGGGGCCTGTGAAGATCTGCCCTTGTCTTGCCTGGAAGAGGACACTAGCTAAGGCTGACCATAGGCAGACAGACACTCCACACACACGCAGAGGCTCTCATCCACACACCGCCCCATCCCTGCCATGCCATCTGGAATCTGTCTGTTCCTTCCAGCAGACATCGACTGGAAGATGCTGAGCCACTGTAGATATAAAACGTCCCCTCCTCTGATTCCCAGGAATACAGGATGGCAGCACCTGCCTCCTGTTCTTGATATCATAGGTGCATAAACAGATTACGTGGCCAGAGTGAGGGAATGCATACTAATGGGGACAGAGACATAGTTTTGTGGGCATGGAGCACACCAGGCTAGGACATGTGATTCAGTCCTGTCCCTCTGGCAGTGTTCCTCCAGTCCTTCCCAGGTCAAGGCCAGAGCAAGTGGCCCATGGTTTTAGAGGCTGGGGTCCAGGCAGGATCTAATCTACCCTAAAGCAGGATCCTGTGTCTGAAAATGACCCAAGGCATGGTACAAGTCTTGGATAGTTCATGACCCACAACAGACCTAGGTATCTGGGTTAAAGGTTCCTTAAACTACCTGGCTGGCTTGGCTACCCTCAGATGATCCTTAAGAGGCAGATGAAAAGAAAGGAAAGCCCAGGTTTTAGAGGAATCAGGATGAGGGACTGACCATCAGCACTCAGTTCTGGAGGGCTTAGGACTTGACCCAGCAACCGAAAAAGGCAGGAAGAAGGGGCTCTGCTTGGCCTGCGTGACCCAAGTCTTAGGGTGGGGGTAGGAGACAGGGACTTTCCAGTTCTCATTGCCAAAGACTGGAAGAAGGAGGGGTGGCCCACCTCAGACTACAGATTCCAGAGTATTTTGGGGGGTTGGGAAGAAATGAAAGTGGGGAAGGCTAGGACTGGGAGGAGAAAAGAATTCCATAGCTGTGAGAAGTAGGAGAGGAATGAGAAAGAGGAAAGATGCAGTCAGGAGACAAATGAAGGAGAATGTCCCGGAAGGGAGGTTCAGCTTCTAGTCTCTCTGACCTCCACCTCCAAAGATGCTTTCTTCATCCAGTGTCTGGGACTGATCTCAGGAAGGGACAGGGAGAGGGGCAACCTCCATCACACCTAACCAGACAGCCAAGCAGCCTAAGAGCCTGCCAGCACCACCCCAGGCTCACCTGCACAGAGGCTCATCCCAAAGCACGTCTCCTTTCCTAGGGAGTCAACCTGTCTGACCTACACAGCAGGGTATCCTTGCCCCCAGAGCAAGCCCCACCCCATCAGACTTGTGGAAGCCTCATGCCCTCCTCTCCAGATCCACCACAGGCACCCTTACGGAGGGTGGAGAAGTGGCCCACCTGCCCTCTGACCCACTGCAATCCCGGGAGGCTTAGACAGAAAACTTCAGGACATGCCCACCTGGAGTAGCTGGCAGCATCGCCTGGCCAGCAAGGCAACCCTGGCCCCAGGCAGTGGGGATGAGCAGCCCTGTGGGCTCTGCTCATGCGCCCCAGCTCAGAAGGCCACCTTTGCCCCAAACCCGGCTCGCTGCCCCTTCCAAGCCAGTCCAGCTCCAAGGCTGAGTGTGGCAGTATTACCTATTCCCTGCCCTCCCCACTCGCATTTATGAGCCCAGAATTCACAAACCCTGGACGGTTCTGAAGGCTGGGCCTCCCTCGTATATCTGCACAAATTACATTTCTGCTTTTATTAGTCCCAGATCACTCTCATTTCCTGCTGAGTGTCCTGTGGATATCATTAACATTTCTACGGCTTTATTTTTTATTTTTTTTTTCACATTCTCCAAAATGCATTACCAGAAACATTATTTAAAAAGAGAGGGGGGTGGAAGGGTGGGTGTGCCATTAGTAGTGTCCTCTCCTTGCCGGCTCCATCCTCATCTCCCCCTCCCTGTTTTAATCAGTCCAGCTGCTGCATCTTTTAATTTAGCCAAGCTGGATTATAGGCGGGTTTCCCAATACACCCGAGCAGCTGGATGTAGTGAAACATCTATCTCTAAGAAAAGACAGTTCAATTAAAATATAAGAGGCCCAGTGCCTGGTGGACACAGGCAAAAAAATACTCGCCCCCAATACCACCCTCCAACCCCAGATGGAGGAGGGATGCAGGAACAAAGGCATGGTAGCATCACAGCTGCCTCTCAGAGCTGCCTGCCAAGGTCCCACTGGCTCTGCCAGGAAAAAATAGGGCGCTACCTCTTTAAGAGCAGCTTCAGCCTGCCATGGGCTCTGTTGTTATTAATTATTGTGATTATGATTATTTTTCAAGAGCACTGGAAAAGGATATGGAGGGGAGGAAAGGCAGGCAGCAGGGCCGGGTTCAGCAGCATTATCAAGAGAGGAGGGGGCAGAAAAAAAGGCTGCATGGCAGAGCAGTGGCGACCTTTGTATGTGGGGGAGAAGTGGCTAAGGGGGCAGCCGAGGGGTGTGAGAGCACCCCTCACACCCAAGGCTCCTCCTGGTCCCAGGCACCTCCTGCTCCCCACCTGCTTCTGCTGTTGGCCAAGGCCTCTTTTGCTGCACCTGCAAGACAGGCAGAAGGGAGGGAGAGAGCCCTGTGCATTCCCAGCACCAGTCATGGAAGCCTATCTTACCAGGCCACACGACAGGGGACTGACCAAACTCAGCTTGGCTGGAGCTCCAGGTCCCACACACCCCTTCCCCCCCGCAACATTGGGCTGGGGTCAGTAACCCCAAACCACTCACACATGTCATCATGTGTAGAGGGTGATGATAAAGCCCCCACATCCCCTCCAGAGTGAAGCCAGCACCATCAAAGGTCTTGGCAGGAGGGTGGGCCTGGACACACCTTCACCAGACTCCTGGGCTGGGGATGGATGCACCTCAGCTACGGAGCACCTCCCCTACACAGGCTTCCTCCTCTGTTTTGAGACAGGATCTTGCTATGTAGTTCAGGCTGGCCTTGAATTCAGTGATCTCTTCCCTCAGCCTGAGCACTGAGATTACAGGCGTGCGCCACCATGCAGGGCCAGATTTTCTTCTTCGATGTTGACTGTTCCATCCTTTGTTGAAGTGAGGTGCAGAGGGATGAGTGGCACTTAGGACCCCATAACAGAGCCCACTCACAGAGATGCAGCAATGACCAGGCCAAAGGTGGATGTCCCTTGCCAAGAACCTATTTTGGAGGGGGTCATCCTGGTAAGGGCAGCAAAACAGTGGTGCTGTGCTAAGGCAAGGACAGTGGCTTGATGTCTAGTCCTGTCTGCAGCCTTCGAGGCACAGAACCTTACCCAGCCTTTATTTAATTTGAGGCGCTGGGCCCAGAACTCAAGGCCTCAAGCATGCTGGGTGAGCACTCTGCCATTCAGCTGCTCCCTGGCCCACAGGAGAACTTTCATTCCTACCTTGCCCCCTTCTTTGAGCAAACTAGATCTACCTTGGGTAGGCCCACTAAAGGGCAACAATAATTACCATGGCAACTACTGTCCCTTGGGCAGCCTCAACAAAGGATCACTAGGCCCATAGTCTCCCCAGGTCCCAGGGCCAGGTCACCTGTCAAGGACATGGGTACAATGTAGGCCAGAACTGCTGCAACCCAGGGGGACCCTGAGGAAAAAAAAGAAGAGTGGGTAGCAGGGAGGTAGGGAGAAACTTTCTGTTCCCCAGCAGCAGCTCCAAGGCTGGCGGTTCCATCCCACCTACTTACTCAAGGTTGTTTTATGACCCGGTTTCCTGATTTGTAGCTGCAGGGAAAAAATTTAAAACCTCAGCCCACTCAAGACATAAGAACAGAGAATAGGAAAAAGTGGGACTGTGCAGGGGCTCAGGTGGCAAGACATGGGGCAGAGGGGTCTGGTACCGGTAGTAAAACCACCTTGGACTTGTCCATCTGTTGTGGGTGGTGAAAAATAAGTGAGACTTGGGTGTATGTGATTAATCATTAGCCACAGTTACTGCTGTCTTGGGGGAAATCTGTTCAAATCCTGAAGACATAGCCTGCCTGGGAAGGAGTCTCCAAAAATCCCCCATGTATCCAAAAATTCTCAGGAATATGTGAAGGTAGCTAGGGGCCAGCAGAGGAGGGACATGAGCTGGCTCAAAAAGGCCTGTTTGGGCAGGGGAGCCATCCTGGGGCATAAAGAACCCCAAAGAACAAAGAAGCCCTGCTCCACAGCACAGCCCCTCCAAATGTGGGTAAGACTTGAGTGAGCTCACTATAGAGAGCTCTACTGGGTGTCTCTGGGCCTGCAGTTCTGAACAGCAAGGGACAAGTGATGTTTGGGAAATGCAAGACCCCAGTCAGGCTCCTCCGCGGAGGGAGGGACCTGGGTAATGCTGGACAGGAAGGGCTGTGTGGAGGGTATCTGAAGGGGAAGAAGAGACTTCTGGGCTTTCCAGATGTATAGAAAGATTGCTCTCACAGCCCACCAAGAATGGTTTCTCTAGGAACCCAACTACAGTGGCATAAGAATGGGGTCTGTGGGAAGGTCTAGTCCAGTGGACATACACCCACTGCATGCCCCACCCCTTCTTTCCTTGGTGCCTCCAG